TCATCTCCAAACCTGCAGCTCTTGTGGGGTGTTCCCGGTCTGCAGTGGTCAGTACCTATCAAAAGTGCTCCAAGGAAGGAAAAGCAGTGAACCGGAGACAGGGTCATGGGCTCGCATGTGTGGTCCGATCCAACAGACGAGCTACTGCTCAAACTACTGAAAAAGTTAATGCTGGTTCTATTCTTTTGTATTGGTTGGATAGAAAAGTGTCAGAACATGCATTGCATCACAGTTTGTTTTAATATATATTTTTATAGAGCATTTCACTGAAGATTTGTAATGTGTGTTATAATAACTTGCAAAATATAGATTATACTGAACATGAACATAAGAAGTTTGCCTGTTAACTCCTTCCTACTTTGGTTTGTGCATGCAAAAATACAGAGAAACCTGTACCCAACACCCAGAAGTTGTTTTTTTATTTGGACAGGTCAATATTTTGCTTTTCTATTATTTAATAGACGTATAATGTAATGTGTATCTATCTAACTGTCTTTAAAACATGTACTTCCAAAACTGAAGAATGGAGTTCAAAGCTATTTCTATTTAATAAGTAACTTTTTCCTAATACAGTGTTCGTGTTCATGGTGCAGAATTACCACTGCCAAGGTACACAACCTCTCCAGCAGTGAAACTGTAACTTATACCTCAGTCAGCAGAGTGTGGAAAGATGAACTTTTTTTGTAATTAACACCACACAATTGTTCGTCTCTATTTTCTTTTCCTCCCCTGCGAGGAGAATCTGATAGTATTCAGTAAGTGAAAGTAATATGGCCAAAGTGAAGAGATGCTGGCACTGAACTGTTTGAAATGACCTATTAAAGGGACTTGGCAGGGGGCAAGAGAGGGGAAGAGAAGAAGAAAATGCTGCCTTTCTGCTGCCTTGGAACAGACGAGTGGAAAATGGAGGATGAGTTACATAACAGTTGGGAGTAACTTGCATTGGAATCTTACATGTTGAAACACACAGTCAAGACACTCACAGTGGCGCACTTTGAGACTTATATCTAGCAGGCTTGTAATTGCTGCTGATTTTATGTAGTTCAGTTGAACTAAAATGGGATTTGCAAAGATACACTTGGGCAATAAAGTATAGAATTTGTTTACACTGTGATCCTTGTTTATGGCAGAAGTTTAAAACTGGCACTCCTGTCCAGACCCTTTTTTTTATTTCTTAGTTGTTTATAAAATAAAATAAACATAACTTTAAAGCCCTATTACTAATAGAGCATTGGCAAAACTCCAAGGCAAACAGGATATAACAGGCTGTCATGCAGACATAGAGACTAACTGTATTATAAACCTACTCGCTGTAATTTTCCGTTTAGTCTGACATAATTTCGCCAGATGGCTGCACAGAGCAGCTCCTCAATGAGGAAAAGGATTACCTCACCTTAGACGGTCTACTGTATCTGTTCACCAACACACACACACACACACACACACACACACACACACACACACACAATGTCAATTTGCTCTATACAACACAGACATAAACATTGTTGTTAGTTAATATTCTATTCAATGTGGTACAGTTGTTAGACAGAAGTGGTGAAGCTGGTAGAGTGGGACACACCCCCAGTGCATGAATCACTGCTGGTATGTGTATCTGGTTGTTGGTGTGTGTGTGTGTGTGTGTGTGTGTCAGATAGTATGTGTCTACTCTTTAAGAGGAGGTTTCCCCTCAGTCTGACAGCAGTCTGACCTGGGACGGCTGCTGACTCTGGACGTGATCTCTCTTCACCTGGTGAACCTAAACTCTAAGGTGAGTACCGATGAAAAGCAAGATGTTGGAGAAGGGAGTTCTGTTGAAGGAAAGAAAATAGCAGCATTATATACAGATTCTGAGCATGAAAGATGCAATGGAAATGCCACAATGTTGTCTGTAAACTGGCATTATTATTATTTATTCAAAGTCGAGAGTTGTTTATTAAAGCTTTATTTGGTGCTGCTGCTTATAGTGCTGCTGTGCTTATAGTGTTGATGTTGACTCTTGTGCTCATGTCTATAAGCATTAGTCTCATAAGATATGTCTCTACCAGAGTATTTAGACCACAAAGTATTTTCTGTGCATCCGGTATGTTTTGAATGTATTTCTTCCTGCCTCTCTGTTAATTATTCACAACCAATAACAATCTTTTTTTCCAGCTACAGCCATGGCTCGTCTGGAACAAGTCATTACAAACATTGTGGATATATTTCTGGATTATGCTGACGATGAAGGCAAGAAACACAAGTTGAACAAAGATGAATTGAAGAAGGTGCTGGAGCAAGAAATACAAAGCCCCGAGTTAAAAGTAAGGGACTCAAAACACTCACATGCACATCTATTCATGAACAAAAAAATGACATCATCCCACTTTTCATTCAACCATTCAGCTGTGCTTTGTGGATTTCATGCTGTTGTTTAACTGTGAGGTTGTATTCTTCAGGATAAAATAAATGCAGGTGACATCGAGGAAGCCATGGAGATGCTGGACAAAAACCACGACGGCGAGGTCAACTTCCGAGAGTTTTGCCGTTGTGTGTCTGTCCTGGCCAAATCTTACTACCAGAAGAAGACAGGCAAGGGTGGCAAGAAAGGCAAAGGGAAAGAACAAGGAGATGAACCAGAAGACTGAAGAAGGTTAACAACAAACCCTTAAAATGTTTGTAGCACCATAATGCATTTAAAAACATTTTTTACAGTATGTATATGTTATATATGACACTGCTGATCTTGAAAAACATAAGCTACTGGTGTTAGGCCATTTGCTGATCTATCATAAAGTTTGTGTTTTAAACATGAATGCAAAATGTGATATTCATTGTCTTTGTAGATCTCTGGTTTTCAAAGATCTTTCCATCAATACTTCCTGAAAAAAAAAAAACTATGAAAATTGATTTGTTGTGGGCCTCCTTGTCTGTTTATGGCAATCACTGGATGTGTAGGTGTTGGGTATCTGATGCCACTGCTGTGAAAGGAAACAAACATGGGCTCATCAAACATTCAACAGACTTGCTGTGTCCTCCAGTGCACATATCACTGTCAGCGCTTCATCAATGGAAATGTCTGGTCTATTCTTTCCAATACTATTGACTGAAGTCCCCCACAGGTTTAAACTTGACTAATATCAGATCTTTTTCATGTCATGAAAGTCACTGAAAATAACAGTATCTCTCTGACTGTCTTTTTCAGTCTATTGGTAATAAAGGACACACAATTTTGAGTAGTTACCAGGAAACAAATGAGAAACTAACTGCTAGTGAACAATTTGTTAATGAGCAACTCCTAATCGTATTTTAAAGAGTAGCTAATGATTAATTATTGATTACTTAATTAAGAAATGAGTGAGGAATGAAACAGGAACGACTTGATTTATGAGTTATTAAAAAGTACTTCTTTAATAATCCTTAATTGAGGACTATGTAGTAGATAATGATGAGATACTAGAGAACAGACATTAGTTAGGCTGAGTAGTCCCTCATTACTTCACCATTATCTTATACTTACTCTTTTTGTGGCCCCTAAAGTAAAGTGATATATCATACTCAGTGGCTACTGAGTACTGAATCATTACTTCATCATTACTATGAACAGGCCCTTGCAGAGGATTCAAATTGCCACTTCGGAAATACTTCTATAAATTCCATTCCAACTCAAAAAACTGTAAATAAGTTATAAAAACAAATTTTTGTCATATAGAGATTTGCACTGATGATTGCCGGATAACACAGAATGTATGTAGATGTTTATGTTGTCACAAAAAGAGTAAGCAATCATAAGATAATGGTGAAGTAATTATGGACTACTTAGTAACCTAACTGCCTCTCTATAACTCATCATTATTCTAATAGTCCTCCATAAGGAAAAATTAAAGAAGAAATGAACAACTCATCAATTATCAAGTCCTTCTTGATTTTCTTCCTCACTTGTTTCTTAATTAAGTAATCATTAAGTAATCATTAACTAATCATTCAGCTATTGTTCACTAGCAATTACTTCCTCATTAGTTCCCTGGTAAATACTCAAAATGTTGCTGTTTCTTATTGTGAGGTGTTACTGATATTTTAAGATCACATGAAATAAATCCTACGTTTATATCTTTGTCTCTCAGAAAAATCTCTTTTAAACAAGTAAAGAAGTTCTCAACCTGATATTTAACGTGTGATTGACTTCAGTTATGTGATAAGTCAACAAAAGGATGGAAGTCTGCAGGGCTGTCAACACAGTGTGACCTACCACATGTTCATTCATTTTCTGATATCATTTTTATAAGTTTCTTTTTCACTTAATGTGGCAAAACTAAATGTGTTTATATGTAAAGGATCTAATTAATCAACCTAAGATCATGACAAATGTTTCTGTTATACAGTTCAGAGGTAGCGTATATGTGCACAGTGCTAACAATAGATTCTAAACCTGTGTACAAAAGTTTGTGTTTGGAAGCTGTGAATAGTCAAATTCAACACTGGAGGAAATTCGGTGATTCACTGATGTTAAACTTCAATCACTTCCACTTTGTACAGTTGACAGATTAGACTCACACCCACTGCTCACCCATATATTACTGTACTGTATACTGCATTCTCTCTGCTGCCCGACAGGTGGAGCAATTGTATCAAAATACTGTAAATCCTTCGAATCTGCCAGCACACTGTTGGCCTTTGTCATGTTCTCACTGTAAGTGAGTTTAAATGTACCTATTATTGTACTTGTCCCTTTCAATTACAGAATACATATTTTGATATATTTTTGGCTGTGGAAGCAAAGTCATTCCTAGTGTCTAGCTTTAAATTGTGTGAGCATAAATTAACCTTAAAATACAGAGGAGTGTAGACACAAATGAGTGAAGTGTTTCCATATAGTGTATTCTTAAACAGTATTTCTCTTGTTAAACCAAATACTTTTGAAGTATTCTTCATTAAAATCCATTTCTGCCAGTAACAGAAAAGAAATTATTACAAGTTAATCATAAATGCTCAACTGAATTGAAAACAACAATTACAAACAAAATAATAACACAAAACTAGTGAAAGATACAAAACTATAATGACTCTGACAGAGGTTTGTGTTGTCTCTAGAAAAGGTCTTTTATCTGTTGACATTGATTACATGTGTGTAACATTGATGCGTGAAGTGTTTTGTTTACAGGTGTAGCAGATAATATCAGGCAGGTAAATCCTTATTTTCATTGAGGAGTGTTTATTTTGAATTCATCATCTATATTTCAAAGGCATGTCATTTCTGTATAATACTACAGCAAGAAGACAGGCAAGAGCCAAGAATGTAAAACTAAACCAGAAGACTGACTACAACATATCTGAAGCATTACCTTCATAATAAGTACTAATGTCACATGTGACACTGCCTACACTGAGAAAACAGCTGTGCAGCCAGAACAGGTCGCACAGGTTTACCATTAGTGTTGCATAAGAAAGAATAACAGCCTAAAGCAGTAAAGGCAACAGTGGGATTTAAGTTTTTATATTTATTTTGTTCCAAGATTGACTTCATATCACCTGTTGCTTTATGTAGCTAGTCAACAAAAGGATGGAAGTCTGTAGGGCTGACAACAAAGTGTTAACTAATGCATGTTCATTTATTTTCTGATATAATTTCTAAAAGCTTCTTTTTTACAGACTGTGGCAAAAGTTAATTAAAATGTGTTCCAATGTTAAGGATCTAATTTATCAAC